GTGCATACGTATCATTGTATCTTATTGAATCTTTCTATATTAGCTACCTCCAGTGAAAATAAACTCATGCTACATGTTAATTTTACCAAACTTTTTCAAGTTACATTAATTAATCTTATAGACGACTAAATATATCATATACAATGTCGTGGTGATCTTTAAATGTGCTAAATATCATTGAATGCAGATCGTTTGTTGTCGTGGGCACTGTTTCAGTAGGGGTGGGCACTTCCGTTACTTTATCGGTTCGTTTTGATTCGATTTGGTTAATTCGATTTTAAAATTTGTCTAACCAAAATAAACTATAATTAGTTTGGATCGGTTCGTATTCGTTTCGATTTGTATTCAGTTTGATGTGTGTTTTGTTCGGTTTAATCGGATTCAGTTAGTTTAGTTTTTTTAAAAGAAGTCATGTTTTAGAACATGTAATCATTATGTTGGTAGCTATGAAAAAAAATAAACTATGTAAACCAAATTCAATATAAAAATGAAATAAAAACTTAAAAAACACAGAAGAAATTATAAGAACATAATCAAATCAAAATTAACTATATAAATAAAAAATATAAAAAATAAAGTATGTAAATTGAATCTAATATAAAATTGAAACAAAAATCTTTTAAAATCACAATTTTTTTATAAGAATACAATCAAATCAAAGTTAACTAAAATAAATAAAAAACCAAAAAAAAAACCAACATCGTTAATAAAGTTAATAGTAACTTTAGTATTATGATTTTAATAGATTGTGTATTGCTAACATGTTTAATTTAAATAATAAAAACAGTAGTTTCTCGATTCGGTTTAATTCGTTTTGGTTCGGATCGGTTTTGGTTTAGTTGGTTCGGATTGGGAAAATCTTAAACCGAACTATTTGATAATAGACTTTGGTTTGGTTCAGTTCGATTTCAGTTTGGTTTGACTCGGTTCGGTTTGGTTTGTTTGCCCACTCTTAGTTTCAACTAGTTAAAAGTTTTAAATTTAACTACAAAGATAAATATTTCTACCGTTATAGTATAGACTATACCAACCAAACCATGAGTCAAATGGTGCTAATAGTATCATATTTCATTAATGGTATCACAAGACTGATACATTCACGTCAGGTGCACGTATAATTCCGATAACAATTAGTTCGGTTATAAAAAAAAAAGATTATCGAGAATAGGATGGTGCTAAATGTTAATTAAGCATACAGTTATACATAGACAATGACGTATTGTCAAAATAAATAATCTCACATGGAGAGTACTACGTACATCTATTGGTATGATCCGACCATATAAAGAAGAAATGCAGGAGATATAAAATATAAGAAAGTAGTACGAGGAGAGATGCACATATCTAAGAATCACTCTAACTTTTTTTTTGTCTATGAATCACTCTAACTCTTCTCTTATTATGTTTCTTCTCGAGTGATTAAGTGCAATCTCTTTTTGCGTGCACATGTTCCGAAACCACAACCTGAAGTGTGATCTCACACACATGTGGCAAATATGTTCTTTTGTGAGTTTTAATCAAAAATAGTACGGTTTACAATTTAAATGCAAGGAATCACGTAAGGTATCTATTGGTATCAGTTATTGAACATATACAAAGATGCATCAGTTTCAGATATAGTTTTTTTAATAACAGAAAGAATTATTTCACATTTTATATCCGATTGCATTTACTATGTTACACTAATGGGTGTGCTTTTGTAAGAGTTTATTCCGTACAGCTCCAGTGTTACGTTTTCATCTAATCGGTTAAAAATATGAATAAACGAATGGAAACAAATCTAAAAGTTGTAAATATAAATAGTATTCCGTCTTAGTTTCCAATTTTTTGTTAAATATTGATTATAGTTAAATTTGTTTTTAACTTTCGGTTGTGGGGCTTTCCCTCGATCTATATATATACATATCTTCGTCCGGCGACTTCATGATTGCTCTCTTTTATAAAACAAACAAATCTGTGGTGGATGGACAACACATTTACTTTGTTTCACAAGCGATGGAATCCCAAAGTAGTACTTGTTTGTGCTTATTATTACTCTTATTCAAATAAAGGCACCTCACATTCTCACATGTATGACAAAGGATTGGTCTAATAACTTTCTTCCCAAAAGAATTAGGGGGGACATTAAATATTTGTCAAGCACTCTATTTGTTATTAGGAAATCTGGTATTCTTACACTCCAACATATCTCTCTCTCTTTACGCAAACACTGCAATGTCTCTTATTAATCTAAATTTCTTAGAAATTCTGACAATTTTATCTTTTCTAGATACTACAGAACTGATGGACAATTTTCCGTTAAAAATAACCATTTTAGATGAAAACCGTTGTTTTGTTTGTTATCTTATAGTGATTGAAGTATATTTGAATAATTCAATACATATGAAATCAATTTTGGAAACCTATTATATGTCGAGTGCCATTAAACGCTTATCACCAAAATACATAATCCAAAGAAATATTAACAACACTCTTAGCTAGTTCTCTAATAATTGAACTCTACGTTTGAGTGTATTCAAATTGGATTATTTTAGCCAAACCAAACAGATCCACAAGCATATATACAAACTTGCACTTAGTATAAATGTTTTCGAAAACTCCAAAGAAGGATTTTTTTTTTATTAACTATGGGTGGTCCATTGTAATTACATAAAAATGTTTCTTATATTTAAAAGGATGAAAATGAAAATAACAAATCGAGGGGACCAGTCGATAAAGCACATGATCATATCATATGACCATTTCGCTCTTATTGCCAGGATGGGTCTCAGTCTAACACTTAAATAAATAATGTAAATGGTTGCCTAAAACATGATAATAATTGATATCGCCAACGTGTGAGGAGCACTAACCAGCCGAAACCTAGTGCTTTTGTTGTAGAGATTTTATGAATCGTATAAACTATAAAACGATAAAGTATCGAACATAATATATATTTATTCATTTACAACATCAAAATGGTTTCCATTTTCCACCCTCCTTTATTCATCAATTATGGTATCGTTAAGTAAGATTAGACATAGTTTAGTGGCCATAGGTCCATATGATTAGCACTAACAGTAACCTATATCACCTCCTAACCTCTTGTTCCCCATTTTCTCACCTTTTATAATATACAGTTCAGTCCACTAACCAATCCATTTGAAAAGCAAAATCATTGTCAATATAATGAAATCTGGAATTTGCTGAATTCAGTTAAGGGCCATCATCAGTTCATCACCCAGTCTAACCTGTTAAACTTTTATCATAAGCACATACGACAGGCCCACATATCAGACCAAGAGAGAATGCACATAAATACATAGTAAGTTAGTAACACAATAGCGATTAATGGGCTTCATTACGTCAATCCCATTAATAGAGACGCCCGCCGTGTAATGAATTTCTGTTTGCCGTGTCCGAATGAATTTTCTTTTATTTCAGTTACCCATTTGGGATAGACGAGAGTCAGAGACTATCCTCCGAGAACACTTCTATCTTAAGGTGGAAGGAATCCAATATACATATATCAAAATAGTAGTCAATAACTTGCATATATATCTTATGAATACTTTTTCCTACACAAAAATAAAACAATAATAGCAAAATATTATGACTTTTTACTTCTTTGAATCACATATGAGTGGGTAATATCTAATATTTTTCTACTTAAACCACATAGTATACTTCTGCTCTAATAAGATAAATAGTGAGTTTAACTATATAACAAAATAGTATAGTTAATTTAAAAATTTACAAAAAAAAAAAGATTAGGTCCATGGAAAGAATTTTGTTTTAATAGATCGATGATATATGTTTCTCCAAAGATTTTGTTTATGTATCCGTATCCATGATACCTATGATCTTGTAACACACGTCTGTGATTCATTAGTCATTTAGATTTGCATATAACATAACTACATAAGTCATGTTCATTTCATTATCGTTGGATCAGCAGTTGCGTCAAAAAATTAAAAGTTTTACTAACAAAAACACAAGCACCGATGAAAGAGGGTCAAATGATTTCCAGTGGCTGCGGCAACTAACACCAAATAAAACGGACGCAGTAAATATTAGCAACGTTGCAATTCATTTGTGATTGCTTTCGCTTTTGACACTGTTATTTTACCTTCATCACAATATATACATTTTTTGCCGGTTACCCCTAGACACAACATTTAAGAAACAAACATGAATACATTAGTTAGGGTTGGCCCAAACCTATTGAAGGCCCTACTCATATAAATATTTGGGCCTTTCTTTTAAGTGAAATTTTTTGAAGAATTTTTAGACCTTTTTGCTTAAGCTAAAAAATCTCTAAATAATTTGAGCCCTAAGCAGTTGATTCTTTTGCATGTGTTTTGACCGGATCTAACACTAGTAGATTTTTCTATTTAACCCTTACTAATGAAATACTACCTTTTATAAGATCTCTATCACTCTCTGAGCACTCTAGTGTATAATGGAGGAGTGATTGAAGTTCGGTTCATCTCAATCACTCTCACAAGTTCACAACCATTCCAATGTATTACACTTCATCTCAATATCTCATGATCAGTTTTGGGCCTTCTAGTAGTTCTTCTACAAAGCCCATCTTAAAAGCCCAACTACTTCACCATTTCTCCTTCTCCTCTGATCAATCACTCTCGCTTAGGGTTTGTTTTGTTTCTCCGATCAGATCCAATTTCAAAGAACAACAGTAACATTTGGAATCTCTTCTACGCCGCGCGATGTCTCTCCGCCGCTCTATCCTCGGTCTCCACCGCCAAACCCACAACCTCTCCCTCTCAAAGGCTTCACCTTTCTCGATGAGTAACACCTCCTCTGCCTCCGCCGCCGTGAGAAACCCAATCGGAAGAGAGATCTCCTCGATCCCATTTGCCCTAACCCAGAAACCGAAACCGGACTCCGTGAATCGTTCTCTCGGGGGGCAATCTGATCTCGCGAAATTCGCGCGTCTCCCATCGTCTCGAGGTTACAGTAACGCAGCTCTCATAAGGAAGATCCCTATTCTGTTTCACATTAATGCAGGGATGGAGGAAGTTTTGGCGGATTATGTTCACCAGGAGATGACGAGGAATCTGATGGTGATCTCTCTCGGGTTGTTTCAGATTATCGTTATCAAAGATGTTATCGTGTTTCTTTGCTTCTGAGCAAAGGTAATGTCTTTTTGGGGGAATTCGATTACATGTTAAAAGTCCGTCCCTTTTTTTTTAATGAATAAGAACATTGATGCAATCGCATCTTAACAGCCTTTCTTGTGTTGGGTTTAGTTTGTGTATGGCTTTTAAGTGGAATTCTAAGTGTGTGTTTGAAGTCTGTTTTACTTCATGTTTTCGAGTCAGGAGTTTGTTCCTGAGAAGGATATTAAGAGAATTGAATAAAATGAGATGTTTTTCTCAGCTCTATTCTTTGCAATTTCATCAAATGTGTTATCTCTCAGTGTTCTCTGGTGTATATATTTTGTCGAATTTTAGATGGTTTCGGTTTTAGAATTTGTTTGTGATCGTGTGTATAAAGGCGGTTGGGACCTTCCCTGATGTGAACCCCCAACATCTATAGACCGACCCTAAAGATTCTTGAATCATGCTCGATCTCTGCAGTAGAATAACATCACAGTTACTCGATAGGCTTTTCAGTTTCTCGTCTGTGTATTGAGCTTAGCTACTCATCTCGTTCACACGCCTCTCTATTTCTTATACGCGTAACTCTTAGCCAGAAAGTAATATAGTAATTCATAATATATCCATCACTCAATCCAAAGTTAAAAGAAAAACTTGAAAAACAAACAATAACTTAACTGTATCAGAATTTCTGTATTAGGATCCTTCTTCGACTTTATTGAGAGAAGAGAAGATTGTCTAATCTGAAGATGTGATGAAAGGAGTCAACTCCAAAGATTTGATCATATATTGGCACCAGAATTGAGTGGTCTTATCATTTCTGTCTCTGACCTCGGAGTTCACTAAGAGATCTTTCTCCTTTTGTTGCAATCAAAGGGCCTTTAAACCCATGTATAATTATCCAAGGAAATAATAAAAGGCCCAAATCAAAAACTAAAGGCCCACACAAGTGGCATTTCCATTAAACAACCGACCGGTTAACTAACCTTTCCCCAAACCGAAAATTAAAGCTTTGGCTTGCTTTCCACTCTATTGGTGAAAAAAAACACTAATAAAGTAATATAATTACGATATTATCTCTGACTTGCTTACCACTCCAAGGTTAAAAGAATAATAATTTACCGCGACCCCAGATTACAACACATATGGTAAGAAATGGAATACAATTACAAATATAATAATCGCCGTCACCTTTGACAATTAAAAGAGTAAACTTTCGTGTTAATACGCGTCATCTACGCAAACTACGTGGCGACACGTGTAATCCATACTCTTTCTCCTTTCCAAAAAACCTCTCTCTCTCTCTCTCTCTAAAGTCTTTGACCCTTGTTTCTCGAGCTCCCATTGATCAAACCCTAACTCATAGACTTCGCTATAACTCAATCTTCCTTAAAACCTCCGTCTCGTGTCCCCCTTCGCTCTCTTGGTTCTTTCCTTCTGGTAAGAATCCCCCTTATACGTCACCGTTTCGCTTTTGTGTAGATTCGTTCTCGATTCTTCTGTAGCGATCGATCTCTGATCAATTGGATTTGATTTAATTTCTAGGGTTCATTGCTCTATCTAGAAGAATAAGAAGAAGAAGAAGGAATGGATTTGTGAATTTTGAGTGATTATTCGCTGTTCATTGTATTGTAAATTGCAAAGTTCGTAGCTTTATTAGTGAAAAAGATGTCATCAGCTGATGTCACACTAAGCCCGGTTCGTAACGAGATGCCTCCCCTTCATGCCAATTCGTGTGCTGATTCCTTCCCCGACGAGACCATTTTGATCTACCTAACACTCCCGGGAACAGTGATCCCCATGCGAGTCCTCGAATCCGAATCAATCGAATCCGTCAAGCTCCGTATCCAGTCTTACCGCGGCTTCGTAGTGCGGAACCAGAAGCTAGTCTTCGGAGGCAGGGAGCTAGCGAGGAGCAACTCCAACATGCGTGACTACGGTGTCAGCGACGGCAACGTGCTTCATTTGGTAGTCAAGGTCTCTGATCTCCAGGTTCTTGACGTGAAGACCACTTGTGGGAAGCACTGTAGGTTTCATGTGGAGAGAGGGAGGAACATTGGGTATGTTAAGAAGCAGATTTCGAGGCAGAAAGGTGGTGACTTTGTTGATTCCGAGGTGCTTTATGAAGGTGAGAAGCTTGAGGATCAGAGCCTTGTTAATGATATTTGTAGGAACAGTGGGGGTGTTCTGCATTTGCTTGTGAGGAGATGTGCTAAAGTTCGTGCTATGCCTGTGGAGAAGAACTTTGAGTTGTCTATTGTTGCTCCACTACCGCAAGTTGATGTTGTGGAGGCTAGGAAGGAGGTTTCTGATGAGTTCTTGTTGGAGCCGGTGATTGTTAATCCCAAGGCGGAGTTGCCTTTAGTGGTTAAAGATATGGTTAGCTCTGCTTCTGAGGGATTGAGAAGTGGGAATCCTCCGGTTAGGTCAAGGGAGGGAACAGGAGGAGCTTATTTCATGCAGGGTTGTTCCGGGAACAAGTATGTTGGTGTGTTTAAGCCTATTGATGAGGAGCCGACAGCTGAGAACAATCCACATGGGTTACCACTTTCGCCAAACGGTGAAGGTTTGAAGAAAGGAACAAAGGTTGGGGAAGGTGCGTTAAGGGAAGTTGCTGCTTATGTGTTGGATCATCCCAAGAGTGGACGCAGAGCTATGTGTGGTGAAGAGAGAGGTTTTGCTGGTGTGCCTCCTACAACTATGGTTGAGTGTCTGCATCCCGGGTTTAACCATCCTAATGGAATCAAAAGCAAGATTGGATCACTTCAGATGTTTACTGAGAATGATGGTAGCTGTGAGGATATGGGTCCAGCTTCATTTCCAGTAGAGGAAGTTCACAAGATATCTGTGCTGGATATTAGATTGGCTAACGCAGATAGGCATGGTGGAAACATTTTAATGAGTAAGGATGAAAATGGAAAGATAGCTCTGATTCCAATTGATCATGGATACTGCTTGCCTGAAAGCGTAAGTTCTCTGCTCTTATCTCAATAATGACATTGCCAGGGAGCTGATTTTAATTTTCTTGCAACAGTTTGAGGACTGCACGTTCGAGTGGCTTTACTGGTCACAAGCTCGGAAACCATACTCTTCCGAGACACTGGACTACATACAATCATTGGACGCTGAGGAAGATATCAGTCTCCTCATGTTCTATGGATGGAAAATGCCATTGAAAACCGCTAGAACACTCAGAATCTCAACGATGCTTCTGAAGAAAGGCGCAGAAAGAGGATTGACAGCATTTGAGATTGGAAACATGATGTGCAGAGAAACTCTAACCAAGAAATCTCTAGTGGAGGAGATGGTAGAGGAAGCTCAAGAAGCGGTGCTTCCAGGGACGAGTGAAGCTGCATTCATGGAAGCCTTGTCTGATGTGATGGATTATCATCTTGATGAGGTGGTTCACTCTCAGGACTTGGTTCATGTGTGAAACGTTCTCGTAACTTGAAACTTTGGTACATACACGTTTGGTTTGCCCCTATATAATTCTGTTGGCTTTGTTAATTTCTGTCATTCTTTGGACATGTGCAAGTTGTTTTTGTTGATTCCTCTGGGACATATTTCCTGTTAAAAAAGACAATTTCAGTGTTTACAGTAGCTTTCTGTTACTACCGTTTTATGTATGTTTCTGTGAATAAGTAATGACAAGAGCTTCAGAAGAAAGAAGCACGAAGAGATAACAGAAATTAATACACAGTTGAGAGTAGTTCACAGCTATTAAATATCAGTATAATTCGGGATCAAAGCTCACTTAGACGAAGGCCTTGTTGACTAAAGCTCTTCACCTCTACGGTGAATGGTGCTCACTACCTATGCTCTCATGGACCGTGGTCAAAGGCTTGGGATACAACACGTGTAAATGCTATCTACGTGTGATGGGTGGTGATGTGGCAACACTTTGTGCCACCCAGCTGAAACGTGGCATCATCCTTTTTAGTTGATAAGTATGATGAGAGAAAGAGAAGACATGAGTGATTTGTGGGAAGGAAGATGGAGAAGAAGACCAAGAAGGAAGAAGGAGAAGCTGAGAAAGCAAGACAAGAAGAAGAAGAAGAAAGGAAGAAAAACAGAGAGACAGAGAGAGCAACGGTGAAGGGTCTTCCACACGAGCAAGTTCCTCAGCCCGGGAAAGATTTCTCCAGCGAAGCTCTCGAGAATCTCCAAAATCATCCCAAGTAAAAGGTCTGTGTTCAGAACGTGTAATATGAGAATATGCGAGAGCGAAGAGATGGTACGGTTCATGCCTGATTGTGACCATTGTTTTCACGTGGTCTTGGACCATGAATCTTGAGCCAAATATCATTATCAATCAGTTTACTATTGTATCAACAATCAGTATACAAAATGTCATGAGTTGTTGTACCCATTATAATATAGTTCTGCTCATTATCAATCAGTTTAGAATTATTCAGACAAGCTGCACCTGGTTGTAAAATGAGTTCTACTATTTGTATAATATAGTGTTGGCTAATTCTAGAACTGATTGATAATGAGTAGAACAACTCATACTTGTATAATATAGTGCTGGTTAATTCAATATACTTTTAGAGGTTGGATCCTAGGTACTTGTCTGAATAAAGAAAACATTTTAACAGTTACACAAAATGCCATTAATTTTGGCAAACATATTTGAATGTTTCTATGAAGTGAAAATTCATCTTCTTGATTAAAGATTGATGATATCGCAAAAGAATTGAACTATATAAAAAGAATGCAAAAAAGTGGAAATAATCGTCGTCATCATCATCATACAAAAGAAAATAGTAAGGCTCACATTTTTATTTTTTATGCTAAGGGTTCACACATCTTTTGAATGAAACTTAAATCAAACAGTGGAGATTAGCAGTTAAAACAACCTTCGTAAAATTAACCGTCACATCAAACATCTTCACCTTCGTGTAACGTCCATCCCAGTTGATGAGAACGAGATCTACTCGGATCCTCCAACGTAGCAGCAGTATCCACCGGCAAATCCGCAAGCGACGCCAAAGTTGTTAGAGAAGAAGACGAAGAAAGAGACTGGAGATTCGACGAAGAAGATGAAGACGAGGGGAAATTCATCGCCAGTATGTTCCCTTCGCTCCACGACCGCCGGATCGGGAAGGAAATGCTCTCTGAGCTTCCGTGGCGACGGCGGCAGGACTTCTTCCGCTGATTTTGATTTTTACGAGATCCGTCGTGAAGCGCACAGTCACAGTTTTTGTGGTAAGGACGCCGCTCGATGGCGGAATCGAGACCTGAGATGCAGCCTTCGAAGATGGAGCGGAATATTCCGTCGGCGGCCATCGTTGTGGCTGATCTCGAGATCCGGTGAATGAGAAAATATCTGAAATGAATATTTGGGGAAACTCCTTTTTTGACCCTTTTTTTATTCCTTTCTGTCAACAGCGAAGCTTACTTGATTTAGCTATTTAAGTCAATTTTGTGTAAATTAGTGTGTGGGATTAATGGGCCTAATAAAAAATAGAAACTAAAACGTGTTCGTACTGGGCCCAATAAGAACTAAATACAATACTTGGTTATATTAACACTGTTGCTCGTCGATGCGAACCCTCATCTCCAACGATTCACCGCGCAATAAACTGTTAGGAATCAACTATCTTTTTTTTTTTTTTTTGAACTTAGGAATCAACATCTTGAGGGGTTTGAAAGCTCACTTCCCGAATCTTCTTCATCTCGCATGATTGGTATGTAGGTGAGATGATATGAGTAATGTCCAACTCCTCGAATAGATGGTGCAATGCAGCTTACAGTAACGTACACCCCAAAGGTCTCCCTGAAACATTGTACAGCAAACAGTAGTGGCTTCGTAGCTTGCCTTAGAATTAATATCTTATCACTGATGTTCATCTTGATACCAAACGATTTGCCACTAAGGAACCAACCAGGTATTAGTTCTACAGGTGCCAGGTGGTGGGTAAAAGACACGTAGTGACTGTAGAGAACATTGTATGGACCCACGTAATTTCGGTGCATCCATATTTGGCGTTTTGGCATGGGAGGAAAACGGATTCAAGAACAGTCTCCATTGCTCTGCAGCGATTGTGGCCAACAGGAAGTCTACATGAAGGGCACTTGCTTTTCAATTTGGGACAGCAGGAGGAGCGCATGCCAAATGTCCATTATCACACTGAAAATACAAATCCCATTTATTAAATTCATACATGTATTAAAGAAATGAATCTCATAAAATATTTTCCACTTTACCTTATATCAGAGAAAAAAAACTAGATATCACATGCAAGAAACACAAATGTAATCCAAAGGAAAAGAAGAATAAAAAAAAGAAGCAATATTTGAAACGTAACCTGGAATATAGGAATACTGAGTGGCTCCATGCAAATAGGGCAATCAAGAACACCAAAATCCAGCATGGCAGAGCGGGTTTTGTCCTCTGTTCGTTGTCTCTTTTGCCTCGAAACATTTAAATGGCTTGATTTACTCTCCATAACGATATGACTGTTGAAAAACAATCACGAATCAACTTGAAGAAAAGTGAAGAGAGCAAAAGAATGGAGGCAAATACCTGTTTTAGGGTTTATATATTATTGTGTGAATAAATAACTTACAATATTTTATCCATATTTATAGTAACCTCAAAACATGATTTTCTTTTTCCTATTGGAATACATACTTATTTATAAAAAGTAAATTTTCCTAAATTGAAAAGGCATACTGTACCGCGAGAGCTTTTACAATAAGATCAAAGCCTTCTTCACGACGAGAAAACCTTTTAGTTTCTTTATTTTTCTGATGAATACAAAACTTTTTTGTGGTTTTTCCTTCATACAGTATTTTAAATTAATAGATTAGATACACAACAATATGATGTTCGTCAACTAAATCCGAGGCCGTAATATACTAAAAAAGATGGTTGGAGGCAACATATCTTTATAATATTATTTGAGAAGTCAGTTTCATATGTGTCGCTCTCACATTCACTCTCACGATGGTTGATTACATTGATACCCTTAGTGAGTTAAAAATAGTTAAAATAATATTATTAATTTTTTATTTAGTTTCCTTTTCAAAAATTTCCAAAAATATATGTAATAAAAAAGTAATTTTTTATAAAGTCATAAAAACAAATTGAAAACGAAAAATACATGTATATATAATATGATTTCATAAAAAAAAGAAAGTTCACAAAATATTAATAATACATTAAAATATTTTTAAATAATATAAAATATACTTTTAGAGTAATAAAAATAGTTTAGAATTAGTATTATTGAATTTATTTATTTATTTTTCATATATTTAGTTGACTATAATATCTTTCAATTACAGAAAATTATTTATAAATAATAATTTACTTATATCATATTATTTTCAAATACAATCACAATTTTATGTAGTGGTTATTTTTAAGAGATATTAAAAACTAAAAATGAATTTAACGATAAACATCACTTGATCAAATAATTTTATCATTATTAAAATTATTTTTTTCTTAATATTAAATTTTATTTTGAATTTTAAATTTTTATGTTTGTCAAACTAAATATAACCATAATCAAAATACCAAAGCAAATCTGATTCCCAATTTTAAGATTATTTAAAATAAATTTCAGTTTACATTCAATAAATCTAAAGCATAAAGTTTTATTTAGAATTTATAAATATTTTAATTATTGTAAATACTGATATGTGTTCATGAGGTTCCAAAAATGTATCAACTACTTATGCATGTAGCCTTTTATTGATCATAGGATAACTCAAAACATATTAACAAATGAAAATAAATATTAACCAACTCTTACAATTTTAGTTCTTCAGTAAAATTTATATATATGCGTGAGGCGTTAGAATATTATCGTTATATTAATTTACATATTTTGGAATTAGACACTTTAGTTAATTTTAATTCATTCTAAGCACAATATGTCTTAAATTATACATAATTTTACTAAAATATATTTACATATCTAAGACAACGCCCACTATATGCAAATAAGTAATTAATAAAAATTAATATATTTTAAAATATTACTATTGAATTCAGAGATGTAATTCAATTTATCCAAATAATAACTAAATCAACCATAAAAACAACAAAATCGACTAGATATAAATGATACATACAAATTATAAATTAATTTAAAATTAAAACTAAATAATAATTAATTATTATCATATATTTACTTTAAAAATATTTATATCTGTGCATGAGCACGGGAAAATCAACTAGTATTCATTGAATATAAAATCAAAATTTATTAAAATAGCTAGGCTTAACCTTCAGCAACTATTAGGGATAAACACGAAATTCTCTTCAGGGATTTGAGAGCTCAATTTAAGAATCCTCTTCACTTAAGCTGACTCATAACTCATGAGTCCTATGTCTATGTAAAATCAATAGTATGAGATAACTTCAATTATTCTTGAGCAGATAGTTCGACGTTCAGTACATTTAACCAGTACCATTAATACTGAGCGGCTAACAATAGACCTCATTACATTCAGAGAGCTAAACAATTACTGATGTAAATCCGAGCATAAATCCACTAATGAACTATCGAGCTCAATATAAGTAATGGGCTAACAGCAACTGAATTCGATCTTAAAAAAAGAAGAAGCTAAATCAAATTTAATTATCTTTAAAACTAACTAAAATGGGCATCCTAAATTATTGACCAGATAGAAAGAGTTTACATAAGAATCTAAATGCAAAAAAAAAGGACCTTCTGTATCCCTCTTAACTGAGTTGCCCTTCGTTCAACAAGTCGATGCGAACCTGAATCTCAAACGATTCACCGCGTAAATAACTGTTAGGAATCAACATATAGTTATCTTGAGGAGTTTGTAAGCTCACTTCCCGAATCTTCTTCATCACTAGTGATTTGTAAGTCAAAAGTTCTCCACCAAAAACGTAGACGAGACGATATAAGAACTGTCCAACTCCTCGAATAGATGGTGCAATGCATCTTACAGTAACGTACACCCCAAACGACTCCCTGAAACATTGTACTGCAAACAGTAGTTTATTAAGAGGTTCATTTGCAATTAATACCTCATCACTGATGTTCATCTTGATAGCAAATAAACTGCCAATACAGAAATTTGTTAATATTGGTGCATGTGCCAGGTGGATAGAAGAGACGTAGTGACTGTAGAGATCAATGTATGAGCCAGCGTAACTGCAGTATTGTGCAGGGCAGCAGCAATAATCAGCGAAAGTGCAGTCCGTTTCATGTGTTTGTTCTTTCACGAAGGGTACAATTTCGGTGCATCCATATTTGGCGTTTTGGCATGGGAGTAAAATGGATTCAAGAACAGTTTCCATCGCTCTGCAGCGACTGAAAACAAGAAGAGCACATGAAGGGCACTTATTTTTCAATTTGGAAAAGCAGGAGGAGCAAGCCAAATGTCCATTATCGCACTGAAAATACAAGTCCAAAGAATTACATTCAGATCTGTATTCAAGAAATGAATCTCATAAAGTATTTTCCACTTTACCTTATATCAGAGAAAATAAATAGATATCACATGCAAGAAACCCAAATGTAAGTGTAAAAAAAGAAAAACAATGAATTACATTCAGATCTGTATTAAGAAATGAAATCTCACAAAGTATTCTCAAGTTTACCTAATATCAGAGAAAATTAACAAATATCACATGCAAGAAACACAAATGTAATCCAAAGGAAAAGAAGAATAAAAAAAAAGCAATATTCGAAAGGTAACCTGGAATATAGGAATACTGAGTTGCTCCATGCAAATAGGGCAATCAAGAACATCAAAATCCAGGAACGCAGAGCGTGTGTTGTCTTCTGTTCGTTGCCTCTTTTGCCTCGAAACATTTAAATTGCTTGATTCAGACTCCATAACGATATAAGATCAAAGCCTTCTTTCTTCCCCACGACAAAACCTTTTCGTTTCTTTATCTTTCTGATGAATACAATGTTTGTTTTGTGGTTTTTCCTTTATACAAGTATATTGCCAATTCACGGAATGGAATTTGAATGGGAGTTAATAATAATCGAGTGCTCTTATTTCCAAAGCATTCGAAGTAAAAGCTGCATGCATAGATTATGACAAGAACGGAATTCGAAGAGTCGAAGAGTTTTTTTTTTTTTTTGACGGCAAACGACGGATTCGAAGAGTTTGATGGGCTGGAACAAACTGTTACATACGTCGCCCTTTTCTTTTCTTTTTGGTTTCGCGTGGTTTAAGTCTCAACTTACTTCGGTTCGGTTCGGTTCGGTTCGGTTCATGATAGTACTAATATGTAGGTCTGGGCATTCGGATATTCGGTTCAGTTCCGGATAGAAACCATTCGGTTCCGGGTATATCGGATAAATCATTCTTATACCCAATAGATACTTATGAGATTCGGTTCGGTTTCGATTCGGTTCTAGTTCGGTTTCGGTTCGGTGCCGGGTACCCATTTAATATATAAATCAGATATATATATATATATACAGAATATATTAGTTAATATGTTAATTTAAATGGTTTAGTGTTTACACGCTTACATATTAGTCAATCCAACAAGAGTTCGAATCAATAAAATGTTAATTTTATAAATATTTATCATATTTTAATATAGAAATATCATATATATTTATAATATAATGGAATAAATAAAACATAACATGGTCTGGTGGTAAAAATATACTTAATATTTGTATCTAACAAGGGTTCAAGTGGGCTTGAAGTCATTTTATCTTATTTTTAAAAAATATAACTTGTTTTTTTCGGATATTCAGGTTCCCGTTCGGTTCTCGGTTCGGTTCGGTTCTGGTTCCGGTTCGGTTTTCGGATATAAAAATATAGGAACCATTCGGATATTTAACAATTTTGGTCCGGTTTTGGTTTCGGGTATTTCGGTTCGGTTCCGGTTCGGTTTTTTGGTTTCGTTTTTTTTGCCCAGGTCTACTAATATGTAACAATATTCTGATCCACAAGGTTGCTCTCAATTATTTATTTTTAAAATTTGTTTTAAAAGTGAAAATTATGATTTGAAGATATTATAAATTTTTGTGTAAAAAGTTGTTAGTTTTTCTTGGGTAATCCTTATATATTATTTGAGAAGTGATTTTACCACATGTCTTCTCTATAATCATTTTCACAAAATAATATGACATATCTATTAAAATTGATGACATGATTTATAGTTTAATGTGACTTAGACAATTACATTTAATGATAACTTATATTTTTGGTAAACTTTTTAAAATATGATAATAATTCATATGTTACATTTATGTCGATTTTTATTTTGGAACTTTTTTAGAATATGGTAATAGTTCATAAATCATCATTAATATATATATATATATATATTCAGATATGACATTACAATATGGTAATAAATCATATATTACATTTAGTGTTGATTTGTATTTCTGGAATTTTTTAGAATATAATAATAACACATAAATCATCATTAAAATAAATATATTCAAATATGGCATTACAATTTCGAAATATCATTTAATTCTATATTTTTAATCTATACAATTTTATTACTAATTTTTAACAAAATGTATATAATTTTTTTAGAAAATTATAAAAATTTAATCGTGAAATCATTAGTTTCTTATATATCTACAAATTTTATAAATATTATTTAATTTTATTTTTTATAATTATGCAATTTTCTATAAATTGAATTAGTATATTTACTTAAAATAAATAGATAAAAAATCCATCCAAGACTATAATTTTAAATATATACATGCATATTCTTAAATATAATTAAAAATAAACAAAATTATTTTATCTTAATTTTTATGATTAATTAAATCAAATTTATATTAAAATATTGATAAGAACATTTTTTTACAATATTAATAAAAAAAATTTTAATATAATTTATAATTGTCTGTTAAAAATATTTTAAATTTTTTTACTGCATGGTCCAGGAAAACACTAGTTTAGATTATTTACAAATGAGTATTGAAACGATGCTTAACTTGTATGGAACCGAGTCTTGAAACGATGCATCACATGTGTAAAGCTGCTATACATTTCACTGGAGAGAGACTCAGGATAGGCAAGTATCAGCCATATTATTGGACAAAGTACATAACTAACACATACAAGTATCATTCTCCATCATCCTTACATCTCTACTTGCAGGCTGTTCAGAGTGTTAGATCTCGTCAGGTACATAACTAACACGTACAAGTGATGCAAGTAATGATTTCTGAAAGCACAGAACGTATATAGGATGAATACTTCAGAGTGATCCAGCTGCGTTGATTGTTGCCATATTCAAAACCGTAATTCCTTCCTTCTATAGTATCTCAGCTAGTTTCAAGCAAAACATCTTTAACATTAAAAAAAAAGAAAAAAAGAATCTCTCACTTCTTCTTCTTTTGGTCCTTGAGTTGTCTCTCCAGAGTTCTGATTCTCTGATTCAGAACAGAACTCCTTGAGATTCTTCTCTCTGGAACACTCGAAGATGACTCGGAGGAGGACATAGGAGGATCTTCGGAGGAAGACATAGGAGCATCTTCATGACCAACAACACTTTGGTCTTTTGGCTCCGAAAAGGAAAATGGCATAGGCGAAGGCGGCTTTGGCTGCTCGGTAGCAGAAGAGGTGGCAACACCCGGGAGATTCAAGAGCTTCCTCACATCAGGACGTCTTAGTGCTGCAAACATTTACACAATACGTCACATCAAAACTCTTTTATATCACGTTTCAAGAACTCTGTGGAAAGAGATAGAAGACTTACCTAATCCATACCCAAGAGTAAACAGGTTGGAAGTGAGCCAGTAACAGAACAATGCCTGCCCAAAAAACTCATTGTTTATTATCAAACATCAAAGAGTCAACAGAGGATAGTAATAGGTACCTTTTCAATTCCCATCAAAATTGGAATAGAGAGAAAGGCAATGATTCTTGAGAATTTCTTCATAGTTCCAGCTACTGGATTCCCTTCCATACCTTCTTGCATGTTCGACTACAATACAAGACTTAGATTCAATATATATAACGTCAATCTTCTAAAAGTAATAAAGAGGTCTTACCTCCACCATAATTATGAAAGTCGCTGCGGTGAGAAGTGGCAAGATAAATGTAGCATCAGCAGTGGTGAGATCAGTAAACCAGAGAGTTCCACCGGTTTTAAATGATGGCACTTTCTCGGCCATGTTCCTGATCTGTATGTAGACAACCATCAATCAGTGAACGCATAGAAAACAATGATCAGAGTTAACTGAGATCAAACTATGTACATATATCTTACAGCGAAGAAAAAGCTGATGAAGATGGGACCTTGAATAATAAGTCCTTTGAGGGGTGTAAACGGAGTTACCCCATGCCTAAAGCCAATCCACCAAAAACAGTAGAAGCATATCAACAAAGGAGAAAACTAGGTGTAACTTTTAACTATACGAGACAATCAAAAATGGACTTACTGTTTAAACAATAACTGCATCCGTCTTTGGCCTTCTGCCATGGCTTCAGGATCCGTACCCTAAGAAAGTAACAACAACACACGCAAAATGTCATAACCTACATCTATAACAGAATAGAGGTCAAGACAAGTGGTAATTAGAAAAGCTAGGTGGAACTTCATCATCAAGATTATAATAGTACACACAATGATAACTAGAAAAGCCTGATGGAATCACTCATTAGTACTAGACAACGAAAATGAGTTTTATCTTGCATCATTACGAAACCAGAAGGCGTTTTATTCATGGTTTTGAACAATGAGACACTCTCAAACGTTCACATGCGTACAAAGAAAACAAAGAGGAGGAACAACATGTACCTTATTGCCCATCTCTTGTCTCAACTCCTCCAGTTGAGGCCTCAGAAGCTGCAAGAACTTGATAGATGAAACAAAAGTGCAAAAAGAGGCATATCCCAAATGTATGAAAAAAATCTAAAAACTAACATTGAGTTTGTAAGTAGCCTTAAGCTGATTCAAAAGAATGGGAACTGTAACTCCACGAATGAGAACAGTAGTCAAAACTATCGAAGCCCACCTAAAAAACAAAACAAAAAATTAAACTTACACATAAAAAACTGAAACAGAAAAAAACAAGCTTAAGAAAAGAAACAGTGTGTATATATACCAGTTCAAACCAGTAAAGGAATGAACAGCATCAATCAAATGCTGCAAAGCAGCAACAGGGAAAACAGAATCCGCAGCCGCAATAGCAACCTCGTTGACAGCAGGAACAACAGCTTGGCTTGTACTCGTCACAGCTTCAAGAATCTGATCAGGAACAACTTCAGGTGCAACAAAGTCAATACCATCTACTTTATCAGACCATTCCGGTGGTGTAGAGCTAGAAGTAGAGCTCATAAACCGACACGAAGACAATCCAAGACCCAAAGGAGCAGCGTATTGCCTCTCCATAAACATAGAGGTAAGCTTGTTAGGCCCATTAAAGGCAGAGACTTTACGAATCATTGTATCAGAACTTGGTGAAGCTGATTTAGTTTCATGGTCTTTATCATCGCTGATTAGATGACCACACGTTGGATAAACTCTTCTCTGTAAGAGATTAACTCTCTTCGAGATGCCACGCAAGCAAGCCATAACGAAGATATTGTCCTGAGATAAAAAAACAGAACATTCGAATCAGTTTCTCATTACAGAACACACGGAATCAAATCAATCCGACACGAAAAAACCATCAGTTCCTGTTTTGAATTTCTACAGATGAAGACTTAATCTAGTTTTTCTAAAACATTTTCATTTTAGAGTTTTCGAAGCATTTTCTAGAGAAACCACATAGAAAACGAAAGAAAGTGAGACATTACCTGAAACAAATCGGAGAGATAGAGAATCACCAAAGTTTAGGCTGAGTCGACTACAAGTCTTTAGGGCTCAAAGACCTGAGACTGCAAGAGACCGA